GAAATGCATGAAGAAAAGAAGGTACTTTTCTGACCGAGAGAGCTAACGAAGGATTGGGGCAGAGTAATTTTGTCCTGTGGCAAAGTAACATTTTTAAAAAGCAAAGACATGTTGATGTATAAGGCTGCTCCTACAGTTTATTGGGAGAAAGACACATAAATATAATGATGACATAATAAGCATGGAGAGGTATATCTGCCAAGCGCTAGACAGAGCGGAGAAGGATGATATTAATGCGGATCAGCTGGAGGAAGCTTTACAATGCAATCATATTTAAAGTGGAAATCGATGAATAGATACAAAAGAGATAATAACTGATATGAAATAAGCTCTGAGAATTTGGTAGCACAAAGAGTGGAAGGAGCTACAGCTAGAACGTGGGGAGAGTGACATCTTGTCTACTAGGCTTAAGCTTTCTTTGCTGTCTTATATTGGTACTGATAGCAGTAAAGAAAAAGAGCCCTGAAGAACTCTAATTGCTGTTGTTAACAGGAAACCTTAACATTAAAACTTGTGGTTGTCTCAGCTAACACTGTGAGTAGCTTGGAGTTCTTATCAGAGTTATGAGGATTGAGCAGGAGAGACAATAGACAAATTACTTTATCATAATTGAGTTTAACCATGGTCTTGGACACATTTTACTTTCCTTTATCAACAATTTTCTTTTTTTTAAGATTTATTTTATTGAAAGTCAGAGTTACAGAGAGAGGTAGAGAGGGAGAGAGAAAGAGAGAGAGAGAGAGAGAGAGAGAGAGTCTTCCATCCGCTGGCCTATTCCCCAAATGACCAAAATGGCCAGATCTGAGCTGATCCGAAGCCAGGAGCTTCTTCCACGTCTCCCACATAGGTGCAGGGGCCCAAGGACTTGGGCCATCTTCTACTGCTTTCCCAGGTCATAGCAAGAGAGCTGGATTGGAAGCAGAGCGGCTGGACTCGAACTGGCACCCATATGGGATGCTGACGCTGCAGGCCGTACTTTAACCTGCTGCGCTACAGCGCCAGCCCCTCAACAATTTTATTTGAACTGAAATAATGTTCTTTTGGTGATTAAATTCTTATATAAATGAACTAAATTGTTTACATTGCAGTTATTTGTAATCCAGCATTCAACCACACGAGTTACTTTTGAGGTCTGCATAGACTTTGTATTAATACACAGTTGTTCAAGAGTAGATTCAAGGATTCTCTCTCTCTGACATTATTGAAATATTGCAGAATTTACCTTGAAATATTACCTTTTACCTTTTACACGAGGTCAGTGCTTTATGTGTGCTATGAGTGAAATGAGAAATATGTCAATATAATGCATACCTTCTGTGTAGGACAAATTATAAGCAGATATTTTCATGTCTTAAAAACTTAACTTTTCTCAATTCTCTACCAGTAAAGGTGCTTATGCTTTCCTTTTAAAAGAAATCTCTGCATTTTCTATAGTGTGTGTAAATCATGATATATATATCATTTATATATATTGATATATTAATACATATTAATAAGTATTACATTCGTCACTTATACATATTTAACTATACATATTCATATTTAATTTATGTATTTCATAATATAAACTTACCACATTGTCATATATTACATGCATATTTAAGTTGTAGATCACAAGTCATGGCCATTTCTGAATTCAATTAACATCTCACATGAAATCATCAAGTTGTTTCAACAAGTTTTATGTTTTTTAATAAACAACTTGTTGATTTTATATAGGATGTTAATTGAATTCAGAAATGGCCATGACTTGTGATCTACAAAGACTGAGTTTCTTTTTCAGTAGAAATAAATTTTAGTGAAGGAAGAAGTAGGTTGTTGTCTGGAAATTTATCTGACAGAAAATGGCAATTGTATATATTGAAGACAGAGATGGAATTTTTTATGAAAAAACTAATGAAATCCTTTAGTTTTATATTAACTAGGTAAGCCTATCAAAAAATTGGACTTTTTTAGACCCTCTAAAATAGTTCTAGTTAATTCTGTAACAAATTCATTTCATGAACATTTGTTGACCTTGTGTATTGTGCTACAATTTAAACAATAAAACAGCAGTTCTTCCCCTCAGGGGCTAATAGTACAGTGGGGAAAGCTAACACCAGTATAGCCAGAAGGGATAGGAAACTTAGGTAGGAAAGAGAAATATCAATTTTTTTTTTCTATTTCTGAGAAATCCAGTTAATTCCAACTAGCACTGTTGAGTTATAATTGATTCCTATTAATCTTAGGGAATGAAATATTTCGATTCCTTCAGCTTTTACTATTTCACAATTGAGATGAAATAATTGCATGGATATGAATGAGTGAGAAGAAATGTAAGAAAAGGAAAAAGCCCTGAAAATTCTTTTTAAAAAGTTAATATTTACTTAACATTTTCAAAGCATATAAAATAAAGCTAGTAAGTAACAACTGTGAGAGTTTTCTTTAGGACAGTTGATTTTCTTGACCTACTTGTGTTTTCAGGATACTGTCACAAAATTGCTTTTAGCCAATTTGTTTTTAATCTACACATAACATTAAAAAGGGAAAATGGAAGGGAATGCTGAAGAGATAAGTGGGAGGCAGATTATGTGTCAATAAAGTTCTGTGATGTTATCTCATCTATCTGACGTTTTAAAAGATTCCAGGGAAGTTATTTAAAGTGGATTAGTAATTATTAAAAAGCATTCATCTTTTTCTACTTTGAATAATAGCTTATGGAAAACAATCTATGATGGAACTTCAGAAAGGTTGTTGGAATAGAATAAAAAGATATTTATTTTGATACAAAAATTTGTGAAATACATGCATAATTTCTTCATACTACCCACCTTTTCATGGACTTTTTGAAGACCCTTGTTGCTGAATACATATTCACACTTTTAACATGTGAGGATATAATTTGGTTTGAACAATAATGTTCTTAGTACCTGAACATACATAGACTCTCCAAAATAATTCAAGATTTATTATTAACTAATTGTTGGTATGAAATAAGAAAAAAATTTCAAATAATTGTTATGGGTTTTTTTGCTAAACTAAACCAAACAAACAAAATTCTGTGTTTTGTACCGCTACTCTTAAGAAATAGCTGATTTTGAATTATTATTTTAGAATAAGACCCAATGGAATCATATTATAACCCATGATCTGATAACAAATAATCTAATATTTTATAATATATGATAAATTTGGTTATATCAGACTCTATACATCATTTGAAATGACTAATATTGTGGAGTGTGCTTATATTTGCTATCCATGGAAGACATTAGCCTTTGCATTTATTAAATACATATATTTTGAAGTCCTAATGAGCAAATGCTTTTGCTAACAAATAATGTATTGTTTTCTATTTTAGATCTGCATGAAAGTTAAAATGACACATGTTTTTTAATTTAGAAACTGTTTTCACTTACCTCATGTTCTGCCCAAACTATTTAAGAAAGCTAACTATAAGAAGGTATAATAAAAATTAGCAAACATAAAGTATATGTGCACATATACATAGTACTTATTCATTTATTGCATTGTTAAAGTCGCTTCTACTTTATGATCATGGTAAATTGCACTCCAGGCAATGCCCATTTTCCCTGGTGATTAATGTAACACCATTGAGTTTTCAGAAGTTGTTTTCTTAATTTAACTGGCCAGGAAGCATTTTCCCTGTTGAAAAAACAGGTGTAAACATCAATACTCCAGATAAGAGAGTGATCTCATGCTGGTTTCTAGTGTCTCCAGTGTGGAGAATTCAGCGGGTAGAGTCTGCACATTGAGTAGGTCTATTTATCAGAAGTAAAGCACCAGAAAATGTTTGGTATGATTCAAATATTTTTACTGAGAGAATGACAGAAAACCTTTTAATGGCAAAATAATCTGTCAAACTCTCCAAATATATAGGGGCTGTGTGACAAACATGTGAAATCAACCCCAGCACAGTAATTACAGGTAATTTGGGAACTGTTTCTAATTTTCTCACTGTGTAAATTACATGTCTATCCACCTGGGACAAAATGTGACTCCCTGAGGATCTCGCTGAGGTTCTCATAGTTTTACACTGCCTGTGTTGTTTCACTGTTCCCTGTGCTGCTCTTCATATTTGCAGCTGGTTTTGAGTAAAAGAAATGAAGATATGGGCATTAAATACTAAGCTGTTCTTTCTGGGTTTCTTTTTTCTCTTCATGTGATTCTATTTTTGACGTTTTTGCAACTTGACTATGGATTGGAGGTTGAATGTTACGGCTCAGGTTCATGTATGGTAACTTCTCCTAGGAATGCCGTCTTGCAGTAAATCATAAGCCTGGCAGCCTATTGGGTTCCTTGCTAGTTGACTCAATACTTGTTAAAGACTCCTAGGTACTGCAAAATTGTTAGAAGGCGTTACCAGCTAATCAGGGTAAGAATTGCAAGAGTCTAAACTGTACGTTAACATCATTTGTGAGAACAGGAGAAGCAAAATAACCGTAATAACAATTGGCTTCTTTTGTTTGTGTGTTTCTAAAGATTGCTCTCATCCTATTTCCTACCATTAAGTTTTCCAAAAGGAAAAAAAAAAAATCAGAAAGCACTTAACATGCGTATACTCATTCATCGTTAACATTTCTTTAATCTTATATGGTGGTATTCGTGTTTATTTCTGTATGTGTCCGTTCTTTATTTTGACAAAGCATGTCATTTTTCATTTTTATCTATATGTATTTGGCTACTGCATGTCAAACTTTTTAAATGACTCAGTGAACAAATGAATTCCTGTCATTTTAAATTTCACTCTAAACATTACAATCCATCCACTTTATTCTCAAACATTCCTCCAAGTTCTTGCTCTGTGTTGGAGCATAACAAAATAAGTGAAAAAAAATGACAGGAATTGTACGGTACAGTCAGTTTTGTACCTGATTCTCTGTTTAAGCTTGTTAAAGTTAAACCTAAATAAGATATGTGTATTTATAATTTGAATCATTTGTGTTTCTCTTTTGTTTGCATGATATGATTTTGTTTTATATTTTTTTTCCACTCACCAGATGTTCCCAACACTTTGCTTCCCACTACTATCATCCCCTCCCTTACCACTGCAACAGTCACAACCACTGTAGCCATAACAACCAGTCCTACCACATCTGCAACAAGCAGCAGCATAAGAGGTACAGTATGCTTCTTTGTTATGGCCTAGAAAACACAATAAATAGAGCTTTAATGAGGTGTTTACAAAGGGTAGAAAAACTGAGACCCAATTTTACTTAATTGTAAGATGTAATTGAATCATCAAAATTGTTGCAATTAGGATTATTGAAATAGAATATAAGACAAAATGGTACGTTTAATTTTAAGTGTTACCTATGATTATGTCAAAATACTTCAGAATATAGGTTAAAATATATGGGGCACTACACCATTGAACAGATTTAAAATGTGAACATAGGACATAATTTTGCCTTGCCTTGAAAAGCAAGGAAATTCAATAGTTAAGGGTGCAGAGGTTGATTTTGTTATTTTTAAGATATTAGTTTCATGTTAATGACTTGCAATTCCTCTGCAACTAGATTAAAGTACCTATACTACTGAAATTGTTCTAAAATGAACAGAGTCCACGAGCTCCTTGTAACCTTTTTACCACATAGAACTTTAGAGAGAATATTCACTATGTACCTGTGTGCCATCCTAAGATGATTTGCTGAGAGGATGTACTTATTCTACTACTAGAATATTATAAAATAAATGTTATACAGTTATCCAGAATAATAGGAATAGATATTTGGCTCAATGAGTAATTTTATAATTTGTAAATAAACATTTTGATTTCAAGGATAGCAACCTTGATGGACTTGAAGTATCCTTGAGGGCAAAAGAAACAATTAAATAATGGTTGAGAAGTATAAAAATTATTCCTGAGCAATTGTTAAGTAGTTGCAAATGATGCAGAAATAAAAAGATATTTGAGGAAATTATTGAAAAACAATCTTTAAGCTTATTTTCTTTATTAACAATGTTCAGAGATTTAGTCATATTTAAGTCTGTCTTTTTCCTACTTCTTATATGTGTTTTGTCTCATGTTTGCTATACTAATATGTGTTAACTTAACAATGTAACTTGAAATTCTTAGAGACATCAAGTATTATATGTAAGTAAGTTTTACCAAGGACATATTTGGCACTATTTTTCTCAGTTGTATATATTGTTCGGTTGGACAGTCTATTTTTCTTGGATTTTTTATTAACTCTTTTTATTAAATTGAGTTAAGAGCTTTGAATTACCAGTTTCTCTTATTCCAGAAAAAAATATTGTCTGCAATATCCAGTTGTTAATGATTTTGTAGAATATATTAGATAATGTAGAACACTGAAGACTAACTTTGATGGTATTAGCAATAATAATTTCTCAGAAATAAATAAGGTTGTTTTTGTGTAACTGCAAAAACTTTATTTGAACTAAATCTGCAAGTGGGAAAAGTTTAAAGATCTTTTTATCCAAATATATATATACATATATATGTATATATAAACGGGAGGAAGCAATAAGATGAAGCAAAAAGGTTAAAAACCCTTGATCTAAACTGAAAGAAAATTTCAAGTTCTGTGCTTTAGTTAGTTATGTTCTGTAAAGATTTTTATAAACAGTAACTGTAATTAAATGTAAGTATTGCATACTAACAAAAGCTCTATCAATAGTGGTAAGTTCTGAGTATACTTACACATTCCCTGAAGGAAAAGGAACAAAGTACACTGACAAATACTTTAGAAAGCCAATTTGTGACACAATTGCCTAATAATTAATTGTTTCTCTTTTTTCTATACAAATTGTTGAGTACCTGCAGTATGTATGGTTTTATGCCAGGCCCTAAAATTATGACAATTACTTATTATATATAAAATGACCAGCAACCAAATTAATACATTTCCTCCAAAGCAAACAGTGTTTGTGCTTATACTTTAGAGAGAAGTAGTCATGTTTATTTTAGTAAAATCCTGAATATGTCATTTGATTCATTGAAACAGAATCCTAAATAAATATATATTTACAAATATATGAATTTATATATACATATGTATATATAATACATATATAATATATACATATTTCCATATCTGTGTGTATTTATACTTATAAACATGTTAACATATATAAACACATAATTATAGACTAAAAGAAGAAAAAATTATTTATTTCAAAGTAAACAGCCTCTTTAATATTAGTTCACATGAACCTTAAATGGGATTTGGCATTTATTGTATTCTAAATAGCCTTTAAAATGAAATGACATGTTTAGCTTTTCAGGTAAGTTCACCTGTTTATTAGAGTCATTATATTTTTGTGAACTTGATGAGATGAACACTAAACTGCTAAAATTTAATCTATTCCTCTAACAAACTCCCAAAAAACTCAAGGAAGTCACATGTACAAACACACACACACACACACACACACACACACACGATTCTCCTTTTTAACTTTAGTATTGAAAGATAAGAGTATTTTCAATGGCACCAAGATATATAAGAATAAAGGATATTATAAGCTATGCAATTAAAATTACCTGTCTTAAAATAAAAAAAATAGTATTCTTGCCCTTGAATGATAATCTAATGCTTGTGTTTTTCTTCTGTCTTAGCAAATATCTGTGTACTATGGAAGTCACCAAGCTCACTGGCATCATTAATGCCTGTGTTTGAGGGGATAGGGGTTCATTCACTGTATGAATGAAGATTGGTGTGAATTTTGCATTTCATTTTTAAAGTTACTAGACAGTGCTTTGCTTTTGCATTATTTATTTAATGATAACTTTCAGATACAATTATATTTTAATAGAATCCACTTATTTATGTTTGGGAAAATATTTCAATTTTATAAAGAAAAAGGAATCATCTTGGGAAATGTTACTTAAGAAAAGCTCAAAACTAAACACGGGATATTTTTCAACCTGCAATATTTCTACTTAGGTCACTTATTTGATTTCTTTATTTGATAATTTGAGAATGGTTAGATTTTATTGGGTCTAAATAGTTCTTCAAGTTTAGTAAACTGTAACATGTATCTTTGTATATTTAAAAAGTGAACCTGAGTCACTGTGACTATCTCCATTTACAGTTTTACAACACTCTTTCTTGTCAAGTGTTTCTTCCTATGATGTGATAAACATTCAGTGTGAAATAAATTTAAAGAACCATAGCTCTGGCTATATTAGAAATCAAAATGAAACGGAGGAAAAGAAACTACTCAAATGATCAAAGTCATAGCCTTGAGAATCTGCAGATTTCTTCAGTTTGCTTCAAAAATGTGTTCCTATTGGAGGCAGTGGAGTTGTAATCATAAGGGAATGAAAGAAGCAATTAGCAGGGCCCTGTTAGAAATAAGGCTGTCAAAACATGGAACAGTGAACCAACTTAAACAGCCTTGGGAAAGGTAAAAAGTAAGTAATCCCTGGTATCTTTGGTTATAAGTTTTGGTTCATCTATTTTGGAGGTCTTTGATTTTTTAACGATATATTTATTTACTTGAAACAGTTACACAGAGAGAAGGGGAAACACACACACACACACACACACACACACAGATCTTCCACCCACTGATTCACTCCCCTGATGGGCACAGCTACGGCTGGGCCAGACCAAAGCCAGGAGACAAGAGTTTCTTTCTGTTCTCCCACATGAGTGGCAGGAGCCCAAGAATTTGGGCCATCTTCCACTGTTTTCCCAGGCCATTAGCAGGGAGCTGGATCGGAAATGAAGCAGCGGGCCTCGAACTGGTGCCCATATGGGATGCCAGCACCATAGGAGGCAGCTTTACCTGCTAGGCCACAGCGCTGGCCCCGGTCCTTGATATTAAATCAGATTCTCAGCATTTTCATCAGGAAAACCAAGAAGCTTTTAATTCATAGGACTATGTTGAGGATAATATATTTTGAAGAAAAACTGTGTGATTGTTAAGTTTAACAAAGATTATTTGAGCAAGAAAATGTCCCCAGAACAAGAAAGCATTTGGGAAAGAAGCCGTTCCAGAAAGCCTCATCTTGCCACATATGGGATCATATTTGTATCTAGAGAAAAGGAAGTGACATACAGAAACAGCGTGACTGGCATCAGTATTTGCCTTATATAGACCTGGTCTCATAAGTTGGCATCTTGTGTTTAACTGAAGCTTTATTGTTGTAAGTGGCTGAGACTCAGCTTTGCAATATAATGTTAAATTAGTTTATAGTTGTTTGCATACTAATTTAGGCTACAGTTCCCTACAGATAGAAACAGACTTAGGCCAAATTTGATTTAACAAAGAGTATCTAGAGTTCTGAAAACATGATCAGTCCTCAGTAGATGACAGGATTGTTGCTTAGCTCTCTTTATTAAAGCAAACACATTACATCATACAATTAATGACGTGGTAGTTTTTTTTACTGTAAGTAATTATATTTAATTCTGGGAAATTTCTTTGGTGTTAGTGCATAGATTGTTGTTTAACCTCAAAGTTATTTTTACTGATTACATAAAAAAATTGTTAGACTAAAAATGGTGCTGCAGCATTTGGAGCCTTTACAGTTACCTGCCTACTTATCTTTTGAGGTTTTCTTGATCTATATGTGCACAAGCTCAATTTTTTAAGATCTCTTAAAATGTTCCCATTACAAAAAAAAATTTCTGCAACAGGTTCTTCTTTTGGAAACTGCTAATTTTCTTTAAGACTGTAGCCTAAGTAACTATTTTTCTCTTATAAATGTTAGGTATTTAGGTCACAATGATAACTTCTAATGAGTTAAACACAGCCCTTTAGAAAATGGTCTTCAGTGGTCTCAATGACTTAATGTGATTTTGACTATTAATATAAATATTACTTTAGCATAGGATATTTAATTTGAAATTAATTTTTCTTTTTATCATAAAATTTTACTTTAATAATAACCATATTATAATCTAATAATCCTTATTAGTACTTTCATATTACAGGTGATGATATTGTTATTGAAAATTTAGGAGATTTATATGAAATATATTGACATGTATCATTGATTACATATATTTATCATTTTTAAAATTTAATAGGCAAAGGGATAGACACACAAACACACACACATATAAACAGAGAGAGAGCTCCCGTTCATTGGTTAACTCCCCAAATAAATTCCTGCAGGGACCAGAGGGCTAAAGCTGGGAGA